CTCACTTGAGTCCACAGATAAACACAAAGGGCACCTTGCTGACCATTTTGTTTCTGAGTTTCACAAATTATCTTCCATCCATTTTCCCAAACCACCCAGAAATCTAAAATAGCATTACAAACAGCACTGGCACTAATTTACCTCATCCCAGTCTGATTTCTTGCTTGCCTGCTTTCTGCCTTTCTAAAATTTTCTGCTGAACATGCAGGTATTGTCTCCCCATCTACACAGCATTTTAAGCAATGGTAGTCCCTACTCCTTGGCCTTGAGGGGTGTTGGAGGGCCTGGGTCTTAGGTAAATTACTTATCTGCTCTGTGCATGAGTTCTTATCCATAAAATGAGATCCCACATGCTTTCAAAAGCAAACATTTTCATGACCATTAGGCAGCAAAACCTCACCCGACTGAACTCTGGATGACAAATGATGGCCTGACAGGAAGTTGTGTTATTTTTGTCTGTCTCTTGGTTTGAATATTCACATGTTTTCCTACAGAAATGGTTATGTGCATGATTATGGAACTAGCCTCACAATTTTTGCAAAGGGACTATGAACCAGCTGTATCTGCTTTATGTTTTTGTTTTGAAGATTCAATGAGTTACTGTATGTGAAAGTGCTTAGAACAGTGTTTGGTCCATAGTAAGCCTTCAAAAAGTGTAGCTCTGATTTTTACCTTCTCTGCATAGGTTTCACTTTGTTGCAAGGAACAATTTCACTAAGACAACTACTGAGTGCTAGACCTGACTTGAGCCTTGAGGACATGATGAGTTTTTACCAAGATGGGGATAATTCCTCCCTTTATGTAGGTAACAGTTTCTTTAATTAAATGGGAAATTAAAATAAAGTGAGACAATTATTAATAGGGGAAGACCTGGGCATTGAAGGATCATACAGTAGTTTAGTGGCAGGTTAAGTTCTCCCTGAAGAAGTTCACTAGGTGAACAGATAGGGAAAGATAGTTTCAAGCAGAGAAAAGAGCTTATGTGAAAGCTCAGAGAAAAGAGGAGGGATTTGGGTCTTTGTTCCCTTGGTTTGCATGCCCTTGTCTCCAAACTTCAGGTTTCTCTAACCCACTGCTCTCCCCAGGATCTGTGTCTCTGGGGATGCCCCTTTAGAAATGGAGGCAAAGAGGAGAGGAGAATGCATGTGCCCCATGGAGTGCTCTGGAAAAGGAGGGGGACCTTGCCAGGTAGCCTAGAGCATGCTAGTCTCATCAATCTAGGAAATCACTCCACAGGCCTAGATGCTGGGTGGGGCACAAGAGGCCTGAAGAGTTATTCATCTCCATGTTGGAGGAAATATTAGGAGTGGAGCAGAAGCATTCCCCACTCTTAATCCTTGGTCACTTCATGAAGTTGCTGCATTTAGTCCTGTGTGGACTAAGATACAATATAATCATGCTTTTAAAATTCCCTCTGAGTTAAGAATACGGCATCTACAGATCCGTGGCCAGAGAGTCTCCTCTAGATAACGTGCCTGGCTCAGCACCTGGTCTAGATCAGGCAGCTCGTACTGTCGCCTTCCCTTAGGTTCTCATGCATCATGTGCATTTTGTCCTAAAATGCATTCAGAAAGCAGTGAATGACTAACTCATACTATCAAATGCTTTTTCACTTTGAAGTTGGAGAATTACTTAATAATAGAATATGAAATTAAGGCAATGTTAAGATTCCTGGTATTGTTAATGTGGTTTAATTTCATTTATTATACAGAACTCACATATTCTTGAGAGCAGTTTATGGGTTATCTTAGTTACTGTTTTTTATTCTTCCTGCATTATGACTTTTGGCCTGTTATTGCTCATTAATACATAGGAAGTAGAAAGGAATATTGAGAGGTGAAATGATTTAAATTTATCACTTACTTCTAGTCACATCCGTCATGAGTACTGCTTTCTACACTAAAAAATACGGAGTTAAACTAATAGTTTATGTGAAAATTGTAAAACAAATGGTATGGATTAATTCCTGATACACATATTATATCAGTATTACTGTGAATAATTCACATTCAAGATTTTAAATTTCCTTAGCATTATTGTCTGTCATAATGAGCTTCTCTGGGACAACTTCTTCAACAAGGTACTTTACTGCAGATTTCCTTATTTCTTCTCCATCTCCTTTCCTTCATCTGACACACTCCTGACCTGCTGTAGAATTTGCAATACTCCATGCATTTCACAGTGAAAGAAGATGGACTAGGAAGGAATGGTGTGACACTGCTCACACAATTCATTGTGAGAAGCTGTGGCTGTTATTCTTCTGTAAATAATATGTTGTTTTGAAATTTTCTTATCAAATTGATTTTTAAACAGCTGTATATTTTAAATATGACTTGGTCAGAGATAACTAATATCATTTCTTGATATATGACCATTATTTGGTTGTAGCTCTCTGCAGGTTTGTGCCTCTTGAGAGAACTCATACCTTCACTCAGGCATTATGTTGGCCAGTCCCTTTCTTTTCAACTCTCGTTCTCATATTTATAGGTAGTTCCTTTAATTAGGTAAATAAAAAGTGAAAAATCATCTTTGGTGAACCGAACTTAGAGTAACTATATTTGTAGGTATTTACTTTTATTTCTTCCGCACAGCTTCATTGGAAATACCTGCCTTGTATAAGTATTAAGTACATGTGAATTAAACAAGGTAGCTTTTTGAGGTTTACAAAATTTTAGGACATCAAGGATTTCAATTGTCCAGAATTAGATTCTCTATAGTCCTCTTTTCATGATACTTTAGTGTTTTGAAGGCTATTATACTATTTATGAACTCAAGAACAAAAATAAAAGCTAGGATTTTGGCAATAACCTATTACCTAACCCAGTGACTCCCATCCACCCACTGGCTCCCCATGTCTCAGGCTGCTATTTTCTTTAATTCAGAAGGTACCAGTCTCTTGCTTTTTTTTCTTTATATATTCTTACTATATTTATGTCTTTTCCTAAAATGTGTTTTCAAAATTTAGTAGCTCTCAGTTCTACTAAAAGGTTTCATACTGTATGTAATCTCTGATATGAATTATTTTTTAATTTACCATTATATTACCAAGATGTTCTGTGCTGTGTGTGTCTTTGAATTTCACTCATTTTGACTTCTGTGTAATAGCCCATAGGAAAAAGTGTATCACTGCTTATCTTCTTTATTCATTCTCCCATTGATGGAGAGTTAGGTTGTTTCCAGGTGTTTATAATTGTGAACAATGTTTGAACATTCTTATATATGTTTTTAACCTATGAGATAGTTTCTGTTAGGAATAAAATTGCTGGGTCACAGGGCATATACATTTTCAATTCAAGGAGATAATGTCAGGCTGTCTTTCCAGAGTTACTGCACCAATTTGTACTCCTCCACCAATGTCTAAGAGACCCTCTAGACTCCTGTCTCTTCAGTCATTGGTATTGTCAGACTTCTAATATTTGTCATTTAAATGGACATGAAATGATATAGTATTATAGTCTTAATTTCTCTATGTGTTTATGGGCATAATTACCTCTTTTGTGAAATTCCTGTTTATGTATTTTTGCCCATTTTTAAATTAAGTAGTTGGTGTTTACGTTAACAATTTGTTAGACATTCATCAGACATTCGTGATACTAATTTTTTGTTGGACATGTTTTGATTATATTTCCCAGTTTGTAACTTGATCTTCTATATTTTTAAGGTATCTTTTGATGTCCAGAAGTTCTTAATTTTAACATAATCGAGTCTATTAATCTTTTATAGTCCATACTTTTTTGTGACTTAGGTAATCTTTTTCTAACTACAGATCTAAAAGATTCTCACTGGTATTTTCCATGGAGATGTTTAATGGTTTATTTTCTTAAACTTAAGACCTTAGTTCCTTTGAGTTGATTTTATTGAGGAAAGTGAGAATTCAACTTCTTTTGTTTTTCATAAAGATTAGTATTTTAAAATCTCCATTTATTGATTTAATTTTAATTTTGTTTTAAGTTGATTTTCCCCCTATGACCAATATCAAAGTTTCATAAGTGTGTTGATCTATTCATGGAGTTCTTACTCTGTGCCGCTGTTCAGTTAGTGAGTGTGTGTGTGTGCGTGTGTGCATATCCATCTTTGAATTTTAGATACACCCATATACACCTGGATTTTGAAATACTTTGGTTTGTCCATCAGGTTTTGGACATAGTAAAAAAAAGTATTCGTACAGTTCTTCCACATATCTGGAAAGTACCTGATGTCGAGGAAGTAAATTTATATCGGATTTTCAACCGGGTTTTTAATCATTTACTCTGGAGTCATGGCCAAGGACTGTGGAACTGTTTCTGTTATTCAGGGTAAGTTCTAAGTTTATCTTTTATTATTGTAATTTTTAATATTTTGCTATTTAGCTATAGAGGTAGTCCAATAAAATGGTTCAATTTCTTTAATGGCCTCTTAAAATATGGATGTTTTACTACATATAATTTTTAGTACTCAACTATAATTTATAGCAGTTAATCTGATGTAGGTGAGATAATGAATATGAACACAAACACCTAGCTAATTTGAATTTGGTAGAGAGAAGGTAATCTTAATTAATGAGAAATCTCAATTACAAATCAATTTCCTTAAGGTTCTGCTATTGTCTTTATGTAGCAGACTTCCAAAATCAATGGCTGCTCATCTTCCCCTCTCCAGAATTTCAGTCCTGCCAAAGCTGTTGTGACTGTCACTTTAGCCTCCAGATATCTAAAATCAAACATTCCATATCTCCCTTTTATTCAGAAATGGCTCCCTCTCTGGACTTCCCTTAATCCCACTGTTATTCCCCAATCGTATCTCAGGGGCTTCTCCATCTTCCTTCTCCTTCACGTCTTTATTCAGTCATTTGCTAAGTCCCCATTAGCCTTTATGTCACATTCCCACTGTGTCTACTCTAAATTGTTTTTCATTGTTCTTAACAATTTTGAAGTATTTACTATTATGCTAGATACTTCTGGAGATACAAAGTTAAATCTGATACAGATAAACTTAAAAATGGTATCACTAAACACAAGACTACTTATAATGTGCCAGACATTGTTCTAAGCAGTTTACAAGTATTAAGGGATTTAATCCTTACAAATATTAAGGGATATAATCCTCATTTGAAGCAGGTTCTATAATTATCTCCATTTTATAGACCAGGAAACTGAGGCATAGATATGTGCTAAGGACCTAGTGCAACTGAGATTTGAACTTAGGGAGTCTGTCCCCAGAGTTCCTGTTTGCAACCAATAATCTCTGTGTCTCTATTAGACAAAATACAACATATATGCAAAACTAATGATTACAAAAGTGTCACAGATAAGGTATTACAGGGTTTCAGATAAGAGAAGCCTTTGTGGTAGAAGGGCTAGGTGAAATTAATAGATTTCTAGTCATTTTGCATCCAATTTTTTGTGTCCCTTTTCCAGCCTACTGTCAGGGTCATTTCTTATAATCTGTAGTTATTTCCTTCATTTATCCTTAAAGTTTAGACTTCTTACCTAGAGATGCAAGACTCTGATATGCTGGTTATTTCTTATATCTTCAGTCTTCTTTATCATTCTCTCCCACTTGAACTCACTCCAAAAAAAATCACTATTTTTCAAATATCTTAAAAATTTGTTCCTTCTTCCTCTGAACTGTTGATGTCATTGAGTATCTGATTAGGCTGCCTTCTCCAATCTCACCCCTCCAATTCCCCTCTCTGTATGATGTATATCCTATGTAAAAATCCAGACTATATTCTCTTTTTTGTAAAACCTTAACAGACTATTCTAGTCTGAAATGATCTGAACGTCCTCTGTTTAAATAGTCTAGTCATCTATTATTGATTCATTCATGTCATTTGCAAACTTATTCTCTCTACCATATTTTTCCTCAGCTACCTTTCACCAATATGGAGAATTTAAGGTGCTCTGGGTTGTGATAAAATCTGAGAATAATCTTAGCTATGAATTATTTCAACAGAATTTATGTGAAACATTGAACTGTACTCCACAGCCCCTTAGTTGATGACTCTCTACAGAGGTTCTATCAATCCAAACTCATGATTGGAATGTTTTTTCCTGTTGTTCCATTGGTTGGAGCACTATATACTAATCCTAGCTGCTTTCCACCATGAAAGGTAGTGAGATAATGTGCTAAATTGGTGTTGGTGACTTTGAATCCATAAGACACTGTCTAATGCCCATCCCCAAAGAGGCCCATAAAGTGGTTTTTCTTTGCTTCTAGGGTTCCTCATCCCTTAAGGATTTTGGTAAGAGACTCAAACTTGACTCTAAACCATTTTCTTTTCCTTACACAATGCTCCTCCCCCCACCCCCCACATTCCTCTGGTGGTATCTGTTACTACTAGTAATGATAACAAGAATAAATAACATTCATGGAAGTCTTACAAAATGCCTGCTACTGTTTCACATATAAAATACTCTTATAATCACCACTTCAATATTTTGAGTAAGCTATTATTATTTTCACTGTATAGTGAGAAAATTTGAAGCATAAAGAGAGTATGTAACTTGCCCAAGTTCTCATAGTGACCATGTGAACTTGGATCTAAACCCAAGTTGTCTGAGTTGAGTGCCCAGACTCTTAACTCTGTTTTACTGACTCCCCTCAAAGCAGTACTGCCAGTGGCTGTGAAGCCTGCTTTACTGCAAGTCCCATGGCATTAGTCAAATCAGCTCATTGTATCTGGGCAGGTGGAGCAAGAGGAACAAGACTGTAGCATGGAGTTCACTTTGGCCTCCATTCTCCACCCAATTCTGTAAAAACTTGGTGGTTTGTAGAGGTGAGTTTAACACCAAATTTTACTTTGCAACCCTACAAATGGGTTTCTTAGGCTTCCTCAATTTAATCAAGTCACATAGTTATATGTGTTTGATTCTCAATTTGGACCCAGAATAGTTCTACTTAGCCTTTGAATGACTTTCATGTCTAGTCAGTGTATAATCCCTTAGCCTTTGACCTAGCAACCTAGTAGTCAAGGTAAAAGTCTACTGTTAACTCAGTTCTAAAGGAATGATTTTAATAAAAGATGCAGCTGTCTTTCACAGTTAGGTATAAAATCTGGGAAAAATATAGTCCAAATAACACTGGGCCACTTTGTTTCATTCCTCTGCCTGTCAGCATCTCAAAAATGAAACAAATTAACCATTCACAGTCCATAACCAGAAACACCAAAACCAGAAAAGTCCTCTCTCCATTCAGTGTAAACTCTCCACTGCTATGTCTTTGTGGTAGGTTTCCCTAGAATTGGCCCAGGGGTTTTACTGATGCAGCAGATAGGAAACACCCTCATCCCTCTTTCTTACTTCCAGGGTGCTGTAGCCCATGCTCAGTGACCCTTTTTATCATGTGCAGTGCCTGGGAGTGTTAGGATGCCCCGCATTCTGAATATGTTCTCTCCAGGGAATAGCCTTTAGAATTCTATGACTAAAATTCTATCAGGGGTGGGCAAGTCTAGGTACTGTGGAACTCAAACTCAGGCCTGATAGTTCAGGAAAGGTGGACAAGGAAAGTAACATTTCAGCTGAGATTTGCAGGAAGAAGAAGAATAGGAGTTTGCCAGGTAAAGAAAAGAGGAAGAGGCTGAGGGTCGTACGGAAGAAGGAAGGTATTGTTTGGAAAAGTCCGCTCTCCATTCAGTGTGAACTCTCCACTGCTATGTCAACCCCAAAGAAGAAAATGTAGTGTGGATCCTTTAGCCAAGAGTATTTCACAGTTAGGCATAAAATCCTGGAAAAATATAGTCCAAATATATTCCCATGGCAGTTTGTTGTAGAAAAGGTGTTTTTCTAGAATCCTAGGGCAAGAAATTTTAAGGACTATTCCAAGGCAGCAGTCTACTTCTGGACTGAATTATTTGCCTAGTTGAAAATGATTATCCAGTTGGTATAGTCCAAATTCTCTTTATACTTTCCTTTCTCCTTTCTGCTATCTAACTTTGGGTCATTCAGTCATCCATTAGAACTTTTACCAGAGAAGGAGAAAGAAATGAATCAGTTTTGCTTTTTAGATAGCTGCTTTATTAAATGTTTTAGTGAGAAAGGGGGTGAAAATTACTGGATTACTGGATAATATGAGGCTTCTCAAGTCTGGATTTCATTAGTAACTCCACTTTGTTGCAAGAAGTATTCAGTCTACTGTATCTCATTGTTATAATGCTGAAAAATGTAATTTAAAGTTGTTTCCTTTCGTATTTCTCTGAGGATTTGGGAATGCCAGAAAGAACTTTTTAATCATTTAATATTTCTTCAGGAATTCATGGCTTTTGGCCTTCGCATTTCCTTGGAATTTAGGTTCAGAAATCAGGCAGATAAGACCCTGGATTCTGTGAAAAAGTGATTTTTAATTATTTCTACATCCTTTCACCTTCTTAAAATTTTTTTGTGTTAGTATTGAAAATTGAGATACTGTAGTGTTATAGAGGCATTTACTCAGCTATGCCAGGTGGTGGGGGACACAGTTCTAAAAAACTCCATTTGAAGGATAGGTTTACTTTGTGTGGAGGCACCATTAGCCTAGATGTAAGTCCTATTCATTTCCTTTCTTCTCTATGAGGGGTTCTGGGTGCTGACAGTGAAATATGGATTAATAGAGTAGAATGTGGTCTTTGGTCGGTTGTTGTGAACATTCACACCAAAAATAGTAAACATCCTTGATTCACATTTTTATGTTTAAATATTTAAGGAGGATGAGAGAATGAGAAGTAAAAGCTGCTCATATTATAACTAGCATGTTATCCAGAATGTTACTTCAAGTTAGTGTTATAGGAGAAGCTCTTCTACTGTTCTTCCATTTTGTTTGTTCTCTCTTACGTCCAAGTCAGGAAAAGAAAAATTACCATGATATGGGAAACCTAACAGTGGATCTACTCATATGGCTCCAAAGGATCAAAGTAAAAATATATCCAAATTTAGAGGGAGGGGTGGTGATCGAGGGAGACTTCTGTAGAAATACTCAGAATCCCATTGGACAGAAAAGATATGTGCTAGGCAGACAGAACACAGGGGTTTTTTTGTGTATATTTACATCTATATGAAATTTTTATTTCTCTAGGCCCAGACATGTAGGGCCTGTGAGATTAAGACTTATTAATTATAAGCATATTTTCTAATTAACATTCTCCAGTATTTTTCTTGGTGAAATTAGGTAAACTGGTTATATCTATCTATCTGTCTCAATATAGATGTATATAAACCTTTATGTATCATACTAGTTTTTCTTATCTTTAGGAATAAGTTAAGATATAGAGTTAATTTAACTAGCATATTATTGTTTCTTGAATACAAATGACTTTTACTCCTTTTTCAATATAAAAACAATATTATATTTAGTCCTGAACATCTCAGAACATAGAAGAAAATTTATTCCTTTAAATCTATTCATTTGAAACTTATTCTCTTTAAGAAAATCTGCCATTCACTGTTACCATGCTTTCTTTTTGGGACCATGTTTCTCCTGAAAATAAACAGTAGCCTTTCTACTGGAAAATACCTTTTACTGAATTTCTAAAGCATTTTTTTAAAAATTCCAAAGATACCAAATATCCACACAAGATTGAAATGGAGTCTTTGAATTTCCCATTGGGAAGTACATTTCTTCAGAAAGATATTTTCCTTACTATTTTTTTTCTTCCTGAAAATCTACTCTTTTTTCTCTCTGAGGGTTAAAAGAATTGGTTTATGTAAAATGAGACTTGAGCCATTACAAAGTCTCAAACCAAACTTTCCTCTTGAGGCTTGAAAAGAGATTCATTTACACTAAGGAAATAAGTCTCCCTCTCTCTCTCTCTCTCTCTCTTTCTCTCTTTCTCTCTTTCTCTCTCTCTCTCTCTCTCTCTCTCTCTCTCTCTCTGTCTTGGTGGTGGTGAGGTATTTCCTGGTTTGAGCCATGATAGTAAACTTAGGAATTGTAAATATATGTGTGCGCATGTGTGTGTGCGCACACACACACAAAGTTTATCAAGAAAGCACACACTACTGCTTGCTTTGGAGTACACTGAGTGCACTGGAAAGAGGACGCTGTCTCTTGGACTGCAGTAGGTCAGGACTTACCGAAGTAATGATTTCTAAAATACAAAACCTGTGCTCTAGGAATATGAGCATCATTACATCTGCAAGTATTTAGAAAGGGGTGGTCATAATCAAGGGATTAAACTAGATTCTCTTAACACAGAGAGGTCACAAGTTAAGTCGCAGCAACTTAATACTTTGGTGGGATCATTATTAATGTAAAGGTGTAAATATAACTTCCTAGAAAACCCTAATTCCTAGGATACCTAACCTTTAAGAAATTAGCTCAGCATTTTATGAATACTTTAATGTAGAGTAACTCAGTTTTTTAAGAAGTGGTGGGAAATCATCCTGTTAGCTACCCACAGTTGGTGTGAGTAAAATTTCTAAACAGATAGTATGTGAATCCTATACTGTTGAGTTTTTTTGACATAAAGTTTAATTTCTGAATTTGTACTTATGCCTCCCAACCATCTGTAGTCACTGTAAATATATGAGGCCATTTTTATTTTTCTTTATTGGTTTGTTGCTGGGTAAGTGATATAGCTGATTGCCATTTTAAACATCCATGTGAGGTCATGTCTGTTTCTGTGCCAACAGATCCTCTTGGGAGAGTATTTTCAGTAAAAGCCCGGAGGTGGTGACTCCTTTGCAGCTCCAGTGTTGCCAGCGCCTGGTTGAGCTCTGTAAACAGTGCCTGCTAGTGGTTTACAAATACGCAGCTGACACAAGTGGATCACTCTCAGGCATTGGCACTGATTGGGGTAATTCCAGGTACTTGTTTACATTTCCTAGGTCCTGGGAGTTTTATATAAAGTAATGACACAATGCAGTTTGAAATTGAAAGTCTCTCTTTGTTTCTGTGGCTAGAGAAAAAGTTGACTGAAAATTCATACATGCTGTTATTGGCAAAATACTTTTAATGTGCACAGTCTTTACCTTTAAAGGACTGAACAAGGACAGCAATCACAAATTTGAAGGTGACAGAAATAACCTACATGGAAATGAAATTTATTGGTGTATATGCTTTTTCTTTCAAAAGCCAAGTAAGAGCATCCAAAAATGGTAATAATTTAATGTTTATTTCCCCAATAGGGATATTTCAACACTTATCCTTTACCCTAATATAGTTGAGAAGAAGTCTTTGGTTTAGTTTTTCTTGTTCATTATGCCTCCACTATTCCTTTCATCACCAAACGAATCTGTGGGAGGTGAATTTTAAGTTTTATTTAAAATTTGAATTTTTAGAAATATTGTCTAGTTAAAATAGATAGCTTTCTAAAACATGAAAAATAAATTTTTAAGCTGCAAAACTACAGAGTAACCAAGAAATACTCCTTAGCACTTCTCAACACAATTATAGTTCCTATAAGAATTAAAGATGAACATGTGACTTTATTTTTAGTATGTATAAGTTGTTTTTTTGTGTTAGTATTGAAAATTGAGATACTGTAGTGTTATAGAGGCATTTACTCAGCTATGCCAGGTGGTGGGGGACACAGTTCTAAAAAACTCCATTTGAAGGATAGGTTTACTTTGTGTGGAGGCACCATTAGCCTAGATGTAAGTCCTATTCATTTCCTTTCTTCTCTATGAGGGGTTCTGGGTGCTGACAGTGAAATATGGATTAATAGAGTAGAATGTGGTCTTTGGTCGGTTGTTGTGAACATTCACACCAAAAATAGTAAACATCCTTGATTCACATTTTTATGTTTAAATATTTAAGGAGGATGAGAGAATGAGAAGTAAAAGCTGCTCATATTATAACTAGCATGTTATCCAGAATGTTACTTCAAGTTAGTGTTATAGGAGAAGCTCTTCTACTGTTCTTCCATTTTGTTTGTTCTCTCTTACGTCCAAGTCAGGAAAAGAAAAATTACCATGATATGGGAAACCTAACAGTGGATCTACTCATATGGCTCCAAAGGATCAAAGTAAAAATATATCCAAATTTAGAGGGAGGGGTGGTGATCGAGGGAGACTTCTGTAGAAATACTCAGAATCCCATTGGACAGAAAAGATATGTGCTAGGCAGACAGAACACAGGGGTTTTTTTGTGTATATTTACATCTATATGAAATTTTTATTTCTCTAGGCCCAGACATGTAGGGCCTGTGAGATTAAGACTTATTAATTATAAGCATATTTTCTAATTAACATTCTCCAGTATTTTTCTTGGTGAAATTAGGTAAACTGGTTATATCTATCTATCTGTCTCAATATAGATGTATATAAACCTTTATGTATCATACTAGTTTTTCTTATCTTTAGGAATAAGTTAAGATATAGAGTTAATTTAACTAGCATATTATTGTTTCTTGAATACAAATGACTTTTACTCCTTTTTCAATATAAAAACAATATTATATTTAGTCCTGAACATCTCAGAACATAGAAGAAAATTTATTCCTTTAAATCTATTCATTTGAAACTTATTCTCTTTAAGAAAATCTGCCATTCACTGTTACCATGCTTTCTTTTTGGGACCATGTTTCTCCTGAAAATAAACAGTAGCCTTTCTACTGGAAAATACCTTTTACTGAGTTTCTAAAGCATTTTTTTAAAAATTCCAAAGATACCAAATATCCACACAAGATTGAAATGGAGTCTTTGAATTTCCCATTGGGAAGTACATTTCTTCAGAAAGATATTTTCCTTACTATTTTTTTTCTTCCTGAAAATCTACTCTTTTTTCTCTCTGAGGGTTAAAAGAATTGGTTTATGTAAAATGAGACTTGAGCCATTACAAAGTCTCAAACCAAACTTTCCTCTTGAGGCTTGAAAAGAGATTCATTTACACTAAGGAAATAAGTCTCCCTCTCTCTCTCTCTCTCTCTCTTTCTCTCTTTCTCTCTTTCT